CACGCCGAGGACCGGAGCCAATCACAGGCCGAGGATTGGGTCCAATCACAGGCCGAGGACCGGAACCAATCGCTCGCCGAGGACCGGAGCCAATCACAGATTTTATCAGATTTTAATTTCTGATGACTTGGCTATAATCTCAGGTGTTTTCGCCGTAATGTGACGTTCATCAAAAAGAAGAAAACGAGACAGAAATAGAAAGTTTGTTGAATTTCATCACCAGGAGCACATGAGCTCCACTCCAGGCTCCGCCTCTTTTGGAGGGGCGGGGCTAAATGCAGGTGAGTTCAGACAGGACAGGTGCGTCTGAAATGGGCTCACGTTTCCTCCTGTAACAGAATAAAGATACACCTCCACCTGACAACACGAAGTCGTTTACAATATTCATAAAGTTTTATTGAATTTTCCACAAAAAAAACTTAAATCTTTTTGAACTCATGAATGCTGCCAGCTGATTGGCTGAGACCTTAAAAAACACTACAACACAGGAAACTGATATCTAATCTATAATTCTTATGAATAATTCATGTTTCTGTGTTTGTGAAAATATGTTTTTGTTAACAACTTCATATTTATCAGGTAAACAAAACAAAAACCAAATGAAATGTTAATACATGCAGATTAAAAAGCCATTTACTTAAAGAAAAACTGTGAGAAAGTTTAATATTTATTAGGAAAAAGTCTTAACATAAAAACGGTCTCATAATAATAAAAACCAGAAAAGGGTCTGATTAATAAATAATCTTAATTATGAATAAAAGGTTTAATTATGAAAAGTGTCATCTGATGGTTTTTATTATAATAAGATATTAAGTCCTAACAAACCAGAATGTAAGGGCTCATGAATAAACGCCTCACGGGTGACGCTCGATGACATCACACCGTGGCTCCGCCCCCACGGTAACAACACTTTAAAGATGTGACGTCATTCTCGCCTCGGGGAACTCTCAGGATTTGACTCGTCAGACTGTTCGATGCCGGTTCGTCACTTCCTGTCAGGTGACCTTTATGACCAATGGCAGCGACGACATTCAGAAGTCCCGCCTCCTCTGCTGCGATTGGTCAGTTTGTGAAGGGAGACGACATCGGCTTTATATTTATATTCTCTGTAGTATTATGAAGAGTATCTATTGTACCTCTAGAGATTTCTATTTTAAAGTTTATAAATATATATATTTGTAGTTCACCCTGACTCCTCCTCGGTGATGTCACTGTGATGTCACAGAGGGTGGAGGCTCTGCTGCACACGCTCAGTCTGTTTGTTCTTCTTTGCTGTCTCGGTCGGTGTTTGATGAGATGAATAAAGTTTCTCTTGAAGCTGAGATGTTGAGCATTTTGATTCCACGTTTCTTTTCAGCTCGTTCAGGAGGCGGCCCGTCCATCACTCTGTGTGTCCTGGTCTCTGTCCTGGGGGGACCACAGGATTCCCAGTACAGACCCTGATCCGTAGAGACCCTGATCCGTATAGACCCTGATCCGTAGAGAACCTGATCCCTACAGACCCTGATCCGTAGAGAACCTGATCCGTAGAGAACCTGATCCGCACAGAACCTGATCCGTACGGACCCTTCTCTGTAGAGACCCTTCTCCGTAGAGAACCTGATACGTATAGAACCTGATCCGTAGAGACCCTGATCCGTATAGACCCTGATCCGTAGAGAACCTGATCCCTACAGACCCTGATCCGTAGAGAACCTAATCCGTAGAGAACCTGATCCGTACAGAACCTGATCCATACAGAACCTGATCCGTACAGACCCTTCTCCGTAGAGACCGTTCTCCTTAGAGAACCTGATACGTAGAGAACCTGATCCGTAGAGACCCTGATACGTATAGAACCTGATACGTACAGAACCTGATCCGTAGAGAACCTGATCCGTAGAGAACCTGATCCCTACAGACCCTGATCGGGTCCTGTACCGGGTCTCTGGATGAGGTCTATGGAGTCTCTTGAGGGACAAACTTCCTCAGTGACTTATTCAGATGCTGCAGAGCTGCTCTGCCTCTGACTCCTAGCAACAGCAGCATCCCAGCATCAGAGACGGAGGATTCACAGCAGACCAGAGGGCAGAGAGACAGATGGAGAGACAGACGGGTTTGTGTGAGACTGGCTCCTGTCTGTGGAGATCTTCATTCATAATCTGCATGCGTCCTTCAGTTCATCAAATGTTGACAAATGTCCTCAAAGTAATGAAAGAAAAGCTTTCTTCAGTCTGTGGAAGTTAAGTCTGAGGAAACTCTGGAGACAGACAAGTGGAGAGACAGACAGGTTCACATGGACAGACAGGTTGTGGGGTGTTAGTGGGAAGAACCTCTCTCTCTCTCTCTCTCTCTCTCTCTCTCTCTCTCTCTCTCTCTC